TTTAGCTTTTAGAAGCGAAAATCAAACATGAGAATTGATACTTGCGGCTATGGCTTTAATGACGGCATGTCCTTGTAATTATCTCAACTGTAATAATTTGTGCTTGCTAAAATAACAACACTAATTTCCTAATTGTTCTGTAAGAATGAAGCCTCAGCGCTCTTGCGGGATTAAGGATGTTTATTATTTAAAAACAAAAAACAAAACCCAACAAAAAAACACAACTCCATCCCATTTTCCAGTCTGATTTGGCCCAGTCATTCAAAGCACTGAGTACCTTCTACTTTATTTGTAAACATTTTGAGGCAAGGGTGCTAAGCCCTCACTGGCTTGGACACATTGTTTGTAACTGGACACAGTTACCAATTCTGACTAATAATGCTAATTGCTCCTACTTATAATTTTACCTTTATTCTGCATACATCCCATTTAAATGTTTTATGTGGGTGTTTTTGTAATCTAAACAACTTAAGAACTTTAGGCACAAGGGGAACAGCTGCAGTTCTGCTGTTGCTTTTGTGAAAAGATCACACAAATCAATTAAAAAAAGAAACCGCTGGCCACTTAAAGACTAATAATTGCTGTTCTGAATGCTGCTAAATTAAATAAGTGTTTTAGCCACATGACTTTTGAAGGTTTTGGTTTCCTCTGAAAGAACAGTTTTAAATAGTTCTTGAATTGATCTGTTTCTAACCAGATTATGAAATGCTGCATGGAATAATATCAGTTCCAGAAAAATATACAACTTTTCCATAGCTTTCTGTTTCAGTGTAGTAGCTTCAAACCACACCCCTGTCCTATGGAGTTTTGTGAAACAATATATGTACTGTGGTTGGGAAAGCAACTTAAAATGTCCACTGTTTAAGCATATATGATACATTACTCTTAATACAATATTGTAAACTAGTGATGCTATAGTTCTGCTTGAGAAGGAACTTTCATTGCCAGGTGCCAAGCCACATATAAAGAAGGAGACATAATTTGAAGGTCAAGTTGGCCACAGATTTTATTAAATAACCCATCGAACCAAATCTAAAACTAGTCAGGCAGCTCTTGCCAAACTTGAACCACAGGTGTTGATGACTATATTACTCCAGAAACCTGTAGACTGTCTTAGGCCCCATCCCATGTCCCAGGACAGAGCTTCTTAGGTGGTAATGTGCTGTCCATACTGTAGGACTGACTTCTACTGATGCTCTCCACAAGCTATAATGATGTTGTGGGATGTTCGTGGAGAAGTGCTGCTGTTCATTCATTGTCACTGTGAACTGACAGATTCTTCTCACCTCAGCCCTGTAGTTTGGGGCAGGTGAGGCTGTTCAGTCTGAAAGGTTGCTCATGAGAGATGTTCACAAAGTGCAGATAAGACATTTAGTAGCTCTGTTGTGCAAGCACTTCCTGCCATACTGTCAGTGAGTGGAAGGAAGCACCTACGCTCCCTGGTATGTAAGTGTGACTTATTTCATGGCCCACAAAGGAAAGAGAAAGCTCCGTTCAATGACTTAATTTTTGTGCATGTGAAATCTCAACCAGAATTTTGCTTTTTTGTGGCTTGTGGCCTTTGATGTAAAGTATATCGAGCCGCTTAGAGAAATTAACAATTGTAGGCAGCCCTAGTTCCTTGTCTGTTTTCCTCCAGTCTCATTTCCTCAATGGAGGTTGTCTGTAATGACTTCCCTGAGTCAATGCAGCATGATAGCCCTGGTTACTAGCCCCCATTCCTGCTGTCTCATATACTGCACAGCCAGTATCTCTATGTCCTTTTTTTCTGGCTCACTATTGCCCTTTATTCCTTTTAAAATAAAACTTCCATTCTGAGGTATGAAACTTTGTGACACTCAGTACTCTTCAAACCAACAGACATCTTAAGCAATAACCTGGACCCAAAGAATTAGCCAAGGAAGGGGGAGCCTTATATCATTATCATTAGCTGTGCATTATTTTAGACGTAGATCCAAACTTGAGCCCTTCTTCTTCAGGTTATGGAGGAGGCATGGAAATACCTCAAAATCAACAAGGGTAACTGTGAGTCTGAAGTCTGTAGCTCAGGATCATCATTCTTCTTGCACCATTTCTTAGCACATCCTCAGCATTTTGATATTTCTTGTTTAGGGCAGGGGATCACTAATTGTTCACCTCAGGATGACAGGTTGTTTTGTTCTGTTGTTTCCCCTGTAGGTGATAGCGAAATTGTAAATAATATGTACGAGACCGATCCCGATCTCCTGGCTGGTGAGAGTGCAGAGGAGGAAACAGAGGACAGTATTATGTCCCCCATCCCTGTCGGCCCTCCATCACCTTTTCCCACCAGCGAGGACTTCACCCCCAAGGAGGGCTCACCTTATGAAGCTCCTGTCTACATTCCTGATGACATTCCAATACCAGCAGATTTTGAACTCAGAGAATCCTCGATTCCAGGGGCAGGGCTAGGGATCTGGGCCAAAAAGAAGATTGAAGTTGGGGAAAGATTTGGACCTTACACGACAGTGCAAAGGAACACGCTAAAGGAAACAAACTTTGGATGGGAGGTAAGCAAGCTGAATATGATTGATCACACTCATTTGTCTTGTACAAACTGTTTAATAAGCTAGACTGAGTCCTGACTGGCCTGGGGATAGGAGTGTATGGGAAGGAGTGACTTTACTAATGTTATGTTTCCCTGGCTTATCTTGCAAAACAGTTTGCATGCACTATTTAAAGAAAAAAGCGTCCAAAATCCTGTAGGTCTTCCTCTGGGGTACAAATACTGCTCTAGCACTATTTTAGTATGGTTGGCCTTCCTGATATTGTACCATTTCTTAAAATACATATTCTTGCAATTTTCAAATTGTGTTTCAGAACTTGCTGCCACAACAGAACAAGTAAGATTAATTGCACCATACATTTGCAGATAGCAAAATATTTCAGTATTCCACCCTAGATATTCAGTCTGTGTTTGTGTTGCCAGACCTTACAAGCTGTTCAACGAAAATAGCTTGCTAACATCCTTGAAGCAGGCGTTCTGGAGCTCACTATCCTGTGACCATGGTAAAGAGGCACAAAAAGACATGGGGCAGGGTTTCCTCTGGAACAGAACAAGGAGTTTTTTTAGAATATGGAAAACGGTGTCGAACCCCACTGGGAGTCTGTCCTTAGACTCTTCCCAAGCCTCCCCCATTTGTATATTCCTACATGCTCCGACACGTTTTGATTCAAATGCATCAGAGCAGACTCAAGTAATTAAGTTTGCTCCAGCGTGCTGCAGTGTCTCGTGTATTTAGCATCCCCGTGTTTCAAAATAGCAGCTGGGGCACTTTAACTAAAGCTTGTTCGACCAGCTTTAAAGCGCCCCCACTGCCATTTTGAAACACGGGACCCTGAATACATGAGACACTGCAGGCATTTTAATTACAGCAACTCCTGAGAGCTGCTGTAATTAAAATGCCCCTCCCCCCCACCCCGGAGCATGTGTATGGGAGTCCAAAGTATCCTTCCCCACCATTAAATGGGGAATCAATTTAGAACTGGATCTGAAGGCCAGATCTTCACATAGCATGGACTGGTGTCAGTCTGTTGCTTTCAGCCGTTTCACATTCTCCAGAGAGCTGGCACAGTATCTGTCACTTCATGCTTACACATATCTAATGAGGTTTAAGAAATTGGGTTCGAGAAGAGAAACTGTGGAATTCCTTTTAAACTGTATTGCCCGTGATTTAGTCACGTTAGGTATCTGTGCGCTGCTAGAAATGACAGTAGCATCCCAATAAGCTTTCTCATGTGAAAAAAAAGAGGCAGGTATGATCTGTATGATTTAAACAAGCACAAGGCAATAGAACAACAATTAATATCATGTTGCTCTGAAATTCTCTGGTATACTTCGTTTCACTACAGCGATGCAGACAGCTCATTCTAAGGGAAGCTTAGCTACTGGATATCTTTACTTGTGCCTGGATCTCTTTCACTTATGAATGTATTAGAGCACAGATCGTCTATTTAAGAACCATTTCAGTGTCTTCAGTGCAGGATGATGTAAGAGTCACACACCCATGAAATCTAACTTGGGTTAGACT